ATGTGAAGCCTGATCTCTAGTTATATCCTTACTGGCATCATGAAGTATATTTTCACACCCTGAAGATTAAAATATCTTTCATGAGCCCAGCAGATTTATGTAGAGAACAATTCTTGCTTATATGGAACCTAATCCATTTATTTATACCTGCCTTGTTCCAAAAAGGACTTAATGAGACTTACAAACAGGTAAGATAAATGAACAATAGGTAAGAAGAGTAAAGTGAAGGGGGACATAGGAGCAAACTAGTCCAGTGAGCTTAGAGTGTGTAGCAGAAGTAGACTGGACATTCGGCTCCTCCCGAGAGCAGCCACTGCCGAGAGGGATATATAGGGGTGTGCGGCTTGCACTGTCTGTAGGGAGCAATCTCACTATTCAGAAAAAGCATTGACTTTTTGCAGTATCGATACGAGAGGGAAATTTTACTAATGTGTCCTTGTAAACCATTTTTTTTTTCCAGGAAGCAGCTTCATGGCCTGTTTTTTATTCTGGCCCTCCACAAAGGCCACTGGCATCCCGTCACAGCACAATTGGGTAGGGGCAGTTTCGCAAGGCACCAGTTGAATGGCATTTCATTGGGGATCGATAGAGGAATGTTCGCACAGCATGTCCTTCAGTCAATCCCCCATTAATACTATGTCTCTAGGCCAAGCTTTAGAAAGGTATTGAACAGCGTGTAGTCATACTCCCCGTGGGGGCCTCAGGTGGAGCTATGCAGTTAAGTGCAAAACCCTATACTTTAAAAAACACTGAGCTGGGGAGAAGGATTGACATCCTCTTGTGAAAGATGAGGAGGAGGATGAGTGGGAGTATCTGTAGGGGAAGGCCAACATACTCCTTCAAGAGTCATTTGGGGTTAGAGAGCAGAAATAGCTTCTGTTTGTGTTGTTTCTTACAGCTTTAACTTAGCAGGGATGTTCTAAAGGGATAAAGGATGACTTAAAAAAAGACGCCCTATGAGTCAAAGTCAATGATTGCTGTCTTACACACAATCTACTTCCAGCGTTTTAAAGATTCGATGTTGAAATGTAAATGGTTACTGAGACACTTTAAGAAGTACTTACAAAATCACAATTTTACTATCTCTCTGTTAAACTTTTCATGAAGAATTCTTTTAAATTGATTTGTTCGTAAAAGTGCATATACTTTTAATATACTGTATGAAGCACTAAAGTGATTTTTTTTGACACACAGATCCAGACCTTTAAAATCGAGTCTGACTTACT